CGACTGCAATCAATCCAATCCTCCAAACTTCAGTCACCAGAAAACATCCTCCAGCCTATCAGCCCACACACCAACCTCAACTCCACTACCATCAAATCTAGCTGCAACGTGAAACCAGAAAAAAAAAAAAAACACCACCAGCCATCAAATCCAGCCGCAAAACAACACCAAAACCTCCTACCATATCAACCTCCTACCATATTCAACCTCCAGACTATCCCAATCATCTTCAACAAATTTGCCATATTCAACACCAAAATACCCAGAAAAAAAAAAAAATTCCAAAACCAACCATCTTCAACAAATCTGCTGCAAATTCACATCATCACCCAAACAACTTCAATCACCAAAAAACACCACCACGCTATCGTCGTTGAAGCCAAGAAGGGAAGAAATCAGATCAACAGAAAAAAAAAAAAAAACAGATCGATGTTGAAGCTTGTTGCCGATAAACTTCCCATCTGCTGTCGTCTTGTCGCCGATTTGCTGCTGTCTCAACCATTTTCACCACCATCTCCGATTGCTGCTAATGTCGCAGACTTGCTGACGTCAAACCCGATCTGTTTCTGACGACTCTGATCGGCAGTTGCTATGCCACCGTGACTTACTTGTTGTGCTTGTTGAGAGTTTGTTTTTTAAACTTTTTTTTTATTTTTCCTTTATTTATTTATTTATTTTTTTCTTAAGTAATATTTAAAAAAAAAAAGGAAAAGTCAAGCCAAAAGTCAAAGTCGAAGGTCAAAGTCAAAAGTAAAAAAAAAAAGGGTCGACAATGTCTGAATCATCTGGATCAAAACCCATTATTATTCAACCCGATAGAGCTTTCAATGCAGGAATCACTCTTACTAAATCAAACTATGATGTATGGTCTTAGCTTATGGAAATGCATATTGCGGAGAGAGAAAAACTTTCTTATATTCGTGGAAAGAAACCACCACCAAAGAAATCCGACGAGGGGTATGAAAAATGGTATGCTGAAAACCAGAAAGTCAAACGATGGTTGTTGATGTCTATGTCTCCTGAAATTATGAAGCGTTATCTGCTCAAAAATCATGTTTGTCCTTCCCAAGCTTAAAATGTAGAAACACCACAACTACGATAAGGTTTGATATGAAAAGCCCGATAGCTTCTGTTGTAGCGATAACCTGTGAAGTTGAGCTGGTAAAAAGGCTTGCTGGGAGTCTGTGTTACCTGGTTGATCATCGTTCTCTCCCATGCTGTATCTGTGCCCACAGATATCACAAGCATGACCATGCCCCTTAACCACCTTTGCACCATAGAAGAGAAAAGGTTAAGTTCATTGATGGCTGCTAAACCATTATCATCTTCAAGAATTCACCGGATATGAACAAGCCGTCTGCAGGGACATTGTATCCCCTTTTCAAGAACACTATGTCACCATATACAACTTCAGAAATGGATATCTGCTGCAAATTCCCCCCTCTAAGAACATCAATTCTCATCTGCCTTTTCTGATGCTTACGCGCTTCTGATAACTTAACTTTTCATTCCAGAAGGCACGAAATGTCGAGACGATCACAAGTATACCGATGGCAAGAATTATGATGGCACCTTGATACCAACCAGTACTCAGGCCTTCCATACTGATCCAAAGGCAATAGACAAGGCTGCAGACAAGCCAAGGAGAGCAATGATGTAGTAGTTACAAGACTTCAAGAGTAACTGGAAGAGCCCTTGTGCAGGATCTTGTGCCTTGAAGAGTGCACCCATGTTGCGTCGAGAAAGAATATCTTCTCGTCACCACGGATTCCCTTCCTAAATCAGTATTTAGAGCTACTGCAATGCCTTTAAAACCTCCAAAATCGTTGAGGGACTGTAAGTCCTTTGCCTTCACAATCTGAGAAATACGTTTACGTTGGCGATCTGCACCACTGACCGCTGTGTCACTCCCGAACGCTGATTCAACCGTGCCAACCTGTGGACATCAACCAAAACTTGAGGTGAGTGTCTCGAGACCTCCTCAATTTCTGTACTTCAAAATTCTGCAAAATATAATAAGTTAGTTAGTTCTAACCTATTTTTATATTAATTCTTCAATGAATCATCTAAAGATGGCAATAAACTATCCTATAGACTCAAAGGCAATTATTTGTAGCCCTTAGAATCAGTAACTGTAGTTAACCTGGCCCAAATTATTTACCTATGTGAGACTACAACAGGAAATGCTAGAATAAGCTGTTAATATTATAGAGTCTTATTGACACTTTCTTCGGGAGCCGTTTGTGCTTTCCAGTTGCTGACAAGCTCTAACTCTGTTGGATGAGTGATAGCAACTTTTGGATGACTTCAGTTAGTGAAGAAGAAAACATGGAAAGAGTAGTTGTTTGAATTATAAATATTAATTGAATCTATAAAACCTTAAATTGTACCTTGGAAAGAAAACTGAGGCTGGTGAAAAAGATTGTATATATACAAGGGGTGTTAGTTCTTATTATATGAATAACACCATGCCGATAGCGAGGCGGTTCACTTGTTAATGCTAATGTGAGAATGGGGTGGGGTAGTGTTAATAGCTCATAGAATCAAATCATAACTCAGTACAAAGGAAAAGAAAAAATTAGGTGTTGAGTATATGCTGAATATATGATGTTTGACAATGTAATATATATCATATCTATAAACTTAAATAGTATTCACCAAAATTTTTCAGGATAGACATCACTGTATCCCCTCTGCTGCCAGTGGCGATGACACAACACCATGAGTACCAGATGAGACTGCAGTGATAGCTAGTGAACCACCCTTCTTAGCTTGTCAGCAATTGAAGTAAGAATTGGCATGCTTGTAGCGTCGAAAAATCCATCGCCAACGTTCTCGTGAAGGATTAGGACTGGGCCGTCTGGTTAGCAAGATCATCTGCGAGACTCGTGTCTCGGTCGGCACTCATGTTGGAAATGTTGATTTACACACTTTGCATCAGAAATAGCCAAAAACAATGACAAATTAGCTAAAACAGACACTTCTGCCTACTTCAAGAAAATGATCATAGATCTTCTGCTGAGACTTGACGTCTCGGTCAGGACTCGTGTGGACATACACACTTTGCATCAAAATAGCAAAAACAAACAACAACTCTGCTACGATCAAGAAAGTGATTATAAACCACATGCGACAAAAACTGAAGCCAAAAAAGGAAGAACTACCACGCTTTAAGATCGGAAATGAGGAAGAAGCATTCGCAAGGGATAGGGAATACCTGTAGTGATATATTGATGCCGATAGATAACACACAAGATGTCGTAATTGGTAAATGATTTGCAGAAATCGATCACTCTCGCCTACCGTGGCCTAAACTTGTGCTACTGCTGCCTTGACAGGTTGGTTTGTGATATTTGAGTATTAGCCGAACATTTGCGGGAAGAATAAAACTGAGAAGAAAGTGAGGAGCTAGAGGATAGGTAAAGTATTGCGAGAAGAATTAATATTGAGAAGGTTAGTTTGATTATTCAAAAAGTATATATGCAGAAGCTTCAGTGCAATTTCTATAGGTTAATATGAAGGAAATAGCATTTAGTGGATGAGTTTCTTGGCCTTGTTTCTTACTGTTTATCGGTTGGTTTTGAGACGTTTACGATTAATCAAGGAGCTAATCTTCCTATTATAACTGATCAATTTAGTTAACATAATAAACCTAAAACTAAACTAAAAGGTTAAGGGAAGATAAGAGTTATAATAAAGCTCACTAGACAGGTCCTTGTTAAATTCTTCTGCAAAGGCAGGTTCGGGAAGCTTTCGGGGCTTGTTAAATTCTACTTTAAGGCAGTTAATTCACGAAGCTCGTACGTGCGTGTGAGATGTTATACAAATGAAATATTCACGTTCACATGCACGCTTTAATATTAAACCATGCTATTGACTTTATTTTTAATTCATGGATTGATAGCATGCAATTTTACTGCTATATTGCCTTGTTAAACATGGTTGCAATGGTGGAGAGGATATTAATTCGGCTTAAACCCAAACCAGATTTCTTAATATATATATGGTAGATTGCCTGGATATAAAACTAATTAATGAAGCCATGAAAATCAAAATTCCCTTCCTTGAATTTTTCCTTAAAAATTCCTGCTTACCAGACATCTTTGCTTCTAATTACCGCCGGTTCTTAAATTTGCCTCTACTGTTTTGTGTGTTCTTCTTGTTTGTTAAGATTTTCATAATATGTGTATATTTTTAATCAAGTGAATATATGTATCTTTAGTTATGTCAGGTATACGATCTCAGAATATTTATGAGATTATGTAATTTCTAATTATGTCAACAAAATATTGTTAATCCACATTGACATAATTAGGAGATTTAGGAGATCGTATACTCCCTATATAAAGGGTGTAACTCCTTAGTGATAAATAAATGAATTGAAAAACATACAATTCTTTAATTTAACATGGTATCAAGCCACTCTGATCTAAACAAAAATTGTTCGTTGTAAAGCAGCCGCCGAAAAAAAAAAAAAAAACATTGGCGAGTACCCCCAACTTATTTTTTTTGGCTTATAAGCTCAACTTATAAGTTTAAAAAAATTATAAATAAACAGGTCAGCTTAATTTTAAAGCTTATAAGTAAGTTTGACCAACTTATAAGCTTAGACGAACACCCCCTTATCTCTTTCTTTATCCAATTCCAATGTTCATCTATTGACACATAAACTATGTTTCATACGTTAGTTTTCAACTTTATTTCTTGCTGTTTGTCTTTATTTTTGTTGAGTTTCATTTGCATTCAATGTTTGAGTTGAAACTTGAAAGTACTTCACGTAGAGAACATCTAAGAGCTATATATAAATTTGTTTTTAATTCATAGTTTAACCTGAAATGGGAAAATTTTGTTACTTATTTCATGATGCTTGATGGTGGAACTATTATAATTACGTATTGTTCTTGCTAATAATTAGTGCTAATACATTGAACTCTTAAGGTAACAGTTATTGCATGCTAGTGAAATTTCTACAAACTAAAAAAGTACAATGTGGAATGGAATCACGGGTTTGTTGTGGAATCTAAGTTGATGAATGGATCGACATTAGAGGCCAATTCTGAGTGTGTCGTCCCCGTGGATCCAATGTGTGGACTGTGTAATTTAGTATGCCAATACATGATGAAAGTTGATGCGCTCTTTGCTGCGAAATCAACTGGCAATGTGAGCATCCCCATTAGTAAAGATATGCCCCAGTGTTCACCATTTAACTTTGCATTACTGACACTAATATGTGCAATCTCTACAAATGCCGCTTGTACCACCAAGGTAGCACACACAGCCACCCAAAGCCAGAGGTTCTGAAGGATCCCCTTGAAGATGTTTTTAATCTTTTGCTGTCTTGCGTTGAAAATGTTGAAGACCTGGCATAGCACAAAACTATTGAAAATCATGGTTTCACTAACCTTCTTGTTGATTCGCAGGACAGATTTGCTTTTGAATTGAAAGGTTACCAAAATGGCAGCTTGAAATAAGACTTGAGTGATTATGTTTCTCCACATGGTCTTGGTTATGAATGGATCTGTTCTTCTCATTGACTGCCTGTTCATCAGTTCCTCGCTTGGTGGCTCTGTCAATAAAGGAATGCCTCCTAGAACACTAACTATAAGGTTTACCCAGACCAATTGGATAGCCGTTATTGGATTATCCCCAACGACAACTACCATGATGGTGTTTAACAATAACCCAGCAACAACTGTGGTGACCTCAAGTTGGATATACCTCTGGATATTGTCATTAGCACATCTTCCACACCTCATAATGGTAACCAATGAGCTGAAACCCCCATCCTGAATGATAATTTCGGAACTTTCTCTGGCGTTTTCAGTGCTCAAAGGTCCCATAGCAATCCCCAAATGAGCTTCTTTTAGTGCTGGAGTCTCATTTGTTTTGACACCAACCATTGCTACAATGTGGCCTTTTCGCTTCAAACACTGAACAAGAAGCAGCTTGTCAGAAGGTTGGGAATTTGCTATGATAGAGATTTTATCTACCATATCCAGCCTCTCTTCATCGGTGAAGGTTCGAAATTCTGGACCTTCAAGCACCAATCTATCCGAGTTAGGAACCAATCCACATTTATCACCAATATCTTTCACCATCTCTACATTATCTTCTGAAATGAGTATCATGTTAATACCGGCATTTCTGAAAGCTTGTGTTGCTTCTTTAGTCTCGTTCCAACATATGTGCTTCAGAACCAGCATTCCAATCAGTGTTATGCTGTTACGTTCAAATGTTGGAGCACCAACCTTCTTGTAAGCAAATGCCAGAGTTTCGAGATTCTTGGACTGCATATTCCCAACAATTTGCTCAAAAATAAACTTTTTATTGTCATCCATAGCTTTCACTGTCCCTTTGCTATCATGGTAGAGAGAGCACAGAGGTAAGATCGCTTTTGCAGGTCCTTTCCAATACAAACACATATGGCTTTCTTGATCTTTACTCTTTCTCACCAATACTCTACTCCCTTTTACTCCGGAGTGAAGTTCGTTGATAATGGTACAACTTTCCCTCAGACTCTCTATATCGAGCCCCATCTTCAGTCTAGCCCAGGAAAGGATTGAATCCTGAGGTGAATTACCAGGGTTCTGCTGGCCCAGAACTGGTATACCAATTCCATTGCAAAAAGTTTCAAGAACATCTGCATCTATCATAGAATCTTCACCAATGACTTCCTCACCAATAAAGCACATGTCAACTTCCTGTGAGCTCAGTTTCAGCCCCCCAGCTTTGTCAGTGCAGATGGTTGTGACTGAGCCCATACTCAGACAAGCCAATGGATCCTTAGCAAAGGACTTGTCAGACAGGGCTTTCTTATTCCAATAAGCGATTGCAAGTGCGACAAGGGAAGGGACTCCTTCCACCATCCCTAGTACCAACAAAGCTAGTGAAGTTGTCAATATACTGGGCTTCCCATTCGGTTTCGTGAGAATTCCTATGATAACTTCAATGATGTGCTCGATTGAAGTTGGTTTTCCTTTGATTTCTGGGACTCCAAAATCATGTTTGTCCTTCCCATGCTTAAAATGTAGAAACACCTCCACTATGATAAGGTTTGATATGAAAAGCCCGATAGTTTCTGTTGTAGCGATAACCTTGTGAAGTTGAGCTGGTAACAAGGTCTTGCTGGGAGCTTGTGTTACCTGGTTGATCATCGTCTCTCCCCATGCTGTATCTTTTCCCACAGATGTCACAAGCATGCGACCATGCCCCTTAACCACCTTTGCACCATAGAAGAGAAAAGGGTTAAGTTCATTGATGGTTGCTAAACCATCATCCATCTTCAAGAATTCACCGGATATGAACAAGCCGTCTCCAGGGACATTGTATCCCCTTTTCAAGAACACTATGTCACCATATACAACTTCAGAAATGGATATCTGCTGCAAATTCCCCCCTCTAAGAACATCAATTCTCATCTGCCTCTTTTCTGTTGCTTTACGCGCTTCTGATAACTTCAACTTTTCATTCCAGATGGCACGAAATGTCGAGACGATCACAAGTATACCGATGGCAAGAATTATGATGGCACCTTGATACCAACCAGTACTCAGGCCTTCCATACTGATCCCAAAGGCAATAGACAAGGCTGCAGACAAGCCAAGGAGAGCAATGATGTAGTAGTTACAAAACTTCAAGAGTAATTGGAAGAACCCTTGTGCAGGATCTTGTGCCCCAAAGAGTGCATCCATGCTGCATCGAGAAAGAATATCTTTCTCGTCACCATGGATTCCCTTCTCTAAATCAGTATTTAGAGCAACTGCAATGCCTTCAAAACCTCCAAAATCATTGAGGGACTGTAAGTCCTTTGCCTTCACAACCTGAGAAATACGTTTACGTTGGCGATCTGCATCACTGACCGCTGTGTCACTCCCGAACGCTGATTCAACCGTGCCAACATTGTGGACATCAATCAAAACTTGAGGTGATGTGTCTGAGACTTCCTCAATTTCTGTCACTTCAAAATTCTGCAAAATATAATAAGTTAGTTAGTTCTAACCTATTTTTATATTAATTCTTCAATGAATCATCTAAAATATAGGTACTAAACTATCCTAATAGACTCAAAGGCAATTATTTGTAGCCCTTAGAATCAGTAACTGTAGTTAACCTGTGCTCAAATTTATTTACCTATGTGAGACTACAACAGGAAATGCTAGAATAAGCTGTTAATATTATAAGAGTGCTATTGACGCTTTCTTCGGGAGCCTGTTTGTGCTTTCCAGTTGCTGACAAGCTCTAACTCTGTTGGATGAGCTGATAGCAATTTTGGATGACTTCAGTTAGTGAAGAAGAAAACATGGAAAGAGTAGTTGTTTGAATTATAAATATTAATTGAATCTATAAAACCTTAAATTGTACCTTGGAAAGAAACTGAGGCTGGTGAAAAAGATTGTATATATAACAAGGGGTGTTAGTTCTTATTATATGAATAACACCATGCCGATAGCGAGGCGGTTCACTTGTTAATTGCTAATGTGAGAATGGGGTGGGGTAGTGTTAATAGCTCATAGAATCAAATCATAACTGCAGTACAAAGGAAAAGAAAATTTAGGTAGTTGAGTATATGCTGAATATATGATGTTTGACAATGGTAATATATATCATATCTATAAACTTAAATAGTATTCACAAAATTTTTCACGGACTAGACTCACTGTATCCCCTCTGCTGCCAGTGGCGATGACACCAACACCATGAGTACCAGATGAGACTGCAGTGATAGCTAGTGAACCACCCTTCTTAGCCTTGTCAGCAATTGAAGTAAGAATTTGGCATGCTTGTAGCGTCCGAAAAATCCATCGCCAACGTTCTCGTGAAGGATTAGGACTGGGCCGTCTGGTTATGAACAAGATCATCTGCTGAGACTCGATGTCTCGGTCGGCACTCATGTTGGAAATGTTGATTTACACACTTTGCATCAGAAATAGCAAAAACAATGAACAAATTAGCTAAAACAGACAACTTCTGCCTACTATCAAGAAAGTGATCATAGATCTTCTGCTGAGACTTGACGTCTCGGTCAGGACTCGTGTTGGACATACACACTTTGCATCAGAAATAGCAAAAACAAACAACAACTTCTGCGTACGATCAAGAAAGTGATTATAAACCACATGCGACGAAAACTGAAGCCAAAAAAGGAAGAACTACCATGCTTTAAGATTCGGAAATGAGGAAGAAGCATTCGCAAGGGATAAGGAATACCTGTAGTGTATATATTGATGCCGATAGATAACACAAAGATGTCGTAATTGGTAAATGATTTGCAGAACTCGATACAACTCTCGCCTACCGTGGCCTAAACTTGTGCTACCTTGACAGGTTGGTTTTATGATATTTTGAGTATTCTAACAGTATGTATCCCGAACTTAATTTGCAGGAAGAATAAAACCTGAGAAAAAAGTGAGGAGCATACAGGATAGGTAAAGTATTGTAAGAAGAATAAATATAGAGAAGAGTTAATTTGATTATTAAAAAAAAATATATATCCAGAGGCAGAAGCTTCAGTGCAATTTCTATATTAGTTAATATGAAGGAAATAGCATTTATTGGATAAGTCTTAAAACGTATACTGTAAGTCATGCATTGAACGAGCCGACGGGACGGCAACATGGTTCTTTGCCTTGTTTCTTAGTCGTTTATCGGTTGGTTTTGAGATTTTTACAGATTAATCAAAGAGCTAATCTACCTATTATAACTGATCAATTTAGTTAATGATAATAAACCTAAAACTAAACTAGAAGGTTAAGGGAAGATAAGAGTTATAATAAAACCCTAACTATGACAGGGCCCTGTTAAATTCTACTGTAAATGCAGGTTCCGTGAAGTTCTCAGGGCTTGCTGAATTCTTGGGCTTGTAAGTTTCTACTGTAAAGGAAGGTTTTCAGCAGGCTCGTACGTGCTTGTCAGATATCTTATACAAATATGAAATATTAACGTCAAAATAAACGCTTTGAATAGCAAACCATTGTTATTGGACTTCATTTTTAATTCATGGATTGATAGCATGCAATGTTTACTGCTATATTGCCCTGTTAAACATTCATGCATAGGGTTGCAATGGTGGGAGAGTGATTTAATTTCGGCTTAAACCCAAACCAGATTTCTTAATATATATAAATTTTCGGTGGATTGCCATGAGATATAAAACTAATTAATGAAGCCATGAAAATCAAAATTCCCTTCCTCGAATTTTTCCTTAAAAATTCACCTGCTTCACCAGACATCTTTGCTTTTAATAATGCCGCCGGCTTCTTTGCCTCTACTATTTTGTGCTGCACTACAAGAAAAATGGTCTACCATAATATGCAAAAAGTGTTATCGTAGTTAATTGATAGAATTTATAAGGATGTTATGATAGTTCATGTTACTAAAAAGTAGACAACGGAAACATTTTTTGCATGTTATCCATTATTTCAATAACTACTATAAAATATTGTTGTTAAGTATATTGTAGTACTAATTCATAGTTACGAATAATTTTTGGTAACACTACATAAATGCTATAAATAAATTTTCTGTAACATTCTTAATCTGTTACAATTTAGTTTTCTATAACATTTTCAAAATGTTATAAATAAGTTTTCGTAACATTCTTAACCTGTTACAGTTTAGTTTTTTTGCAACATTTTTATAATGTTATAGATTGGTTTTTCTTAACATTATTAAGACGCTATAAAAGTGCTACCAAAGTATCATTCATTATATTTAATAACTGTTATACAATTATTTTCCATTACATTTTTAAAGTGCTATCAATGTGTCTGTTATAGCATGTATGTTTTGCTGCTAGGATGACGACAAAAAATATTGTAAATTTGTTTTAAGTATTTTATATAACAAAAGAAGATTAAATTCAGAGTTTGTTAATTCTAAAGCATAATACTATTAGAAATATTGTTGAATAGTTTTCACTGAGAATGATTATATATTAATATAAATTGATATAATCGCATAATTATTCAGAAACTCAAAGTTTCCAATAACCTGAAACCAGAGAATCTTGTGGTATATACTGAGAAGTGAGAAGGGCTTAATTTCTTTTATTTTCTCTCTAGGAAATTAACGCAAACTTTCCAGGAAATTAAGCTGAAGAACCGCGTATAACTTTTTTTTTTTTATGTAAATTCTTGCTCTAAAATTATTCGCCTGAAACCAGAGAATCTTGTGGTGTATACTACATACTGAGAAGTGAGAAGGGTTTAATTTCTTGTATTTATTTTCTCTAGGAAATTAACGCAAACTTTCCAGGAAATTATGCTGAAGAACCTAGTATAAATTTATTTTACGTAATTTCTTGCTCTGGAATTATTCACCGACGTCACAAGCATGCGACCATGCATGCCCTTTAACCACCTTTGTACATTAGAAAAGGAAAGGATTGTGTTCATCAATGGCTGCTAAACCATTATCCAAGGTACATTGTATCCCCTTCTCGAGCACATTATGTCACTGATTACAGTATCAGAAGAAACTAATTTCTGCAAATAAAAATAGTATATTGTTTTGGAATGAGCGTGTTTGTGGGTTAGTTTTTTCTACGCGTTTTGATTCTAAGGATGATGTCAGAAAGTATTGTAAACTATGACAGAGACTTGATATGGTCTCATAATTAATTCATACAAATGCCCAAATTAATCAATTAATTAACTATATTCCGAATGAAAAGAAGAAGAAGTTAGTTAAATGAAACATGCAGGCACTGAGAAGGGTTGTACTCGACCCTCATTGAAATCTCTTATTACTCCAATGAAAAGCAGCCCACGGGCCGTCGACATTGGAAATCAGCCCATTATCTGCCACTAACATTAGCCCAAAATCAGTTCCTTCCTCGTCCAAGCAGACTAGCAGAAGCCTTAAAATTCCTGGCATAGCCAATAAGTGAAGTCAACTTGGTAGGCACAACGTCAACAGCTGCAACTTCAGCCTTACAGTTCCAGCTCATCTCAGGTGAACAACTTATCTCTTTCTTTATCCAATTCCAATGTTCATCTCTTGTCACATAAACTTTGTTTCATACATTAGTTTTCAACTTTATTTCTTGCTGTTTGTCTTTTATTTTTGTTGAGTTTCATTTGCCTCACACTGAGAACATTTAAGAGCTACATATAAATTTGTTTTTAATTCATAGTTTGACCTGAAATGGGAAAATTTTGTTACTTATTTCATGATGCTTGATGGTGGAACTATTATAATTACATAGGTTCTTGCTGATAATTAGTACTAATATTGCGAGAAGAATTAATATTGAGAGTAGTTAGTTTGATTATTCAAAATATATATATATACAGAAGCAGAAGCTTCAGTGCAATTTCTATATTGGTTAATATGAAGGAAATAGCATTTATTGGATGAGTCTTCTCGGCCTTGTTTATCGGTTGGTTTTGAGACGTTTACAAATTAATCAAAGAGCTAATCTTCCTATTATAACTGATCAATTTAGTTAGCGATTATAAACCTAAAACTAAACTAAAAGGTTAAGGGAAGATAAGAGTTATAATAAAACTCTAAGTATGACAGGGCCTCGTTAAATTCTACTGCAAAGGCAGGTTCTGGGAAGCTCTCGGGGCTTGTTAAATTCTACTGTAAAGGCAGGTTTCCAGGAAGCTCGTACGTGCGTGCCAGATATATTATACAAATATGAAATATTCACGTTAACATAAACGCTTTGAATATTAAACCATTGTTATTGGACTTTATTTTTAATTCATGGATTGACAGCATGCAATGTTTACTGCTATATTGCCTTGTTAAAAATTCATTCATAGGGTTGCAATGGTGGGAGAGTGATTTAATTTCTTAATATATATATTATTTTAATTTTTGGTAGATTGCCATGAGATAAAAAACTAATAAATGAAGCCATGAAAATCAAAATTCCCTTCCTTGAATTTTTCCTTAAAAATTCTCCTGCTTCACCAGACATCTTTGCTTCTAATAATGCCGCCGGCTTTTTAAATTTGCCTCTACTGTTTTGTGCTGTTCTTCATTGTTACCAACTTTATTCTTCTTCTTGTTGCTTGAAACGCTAGCTTTTTTCTACTTCATCATTGCACTTCCATTATTATAAGCAGTAAACAGCCTCTTCATCATCATCAACTTTATTGGGACGTTCTTGATGTTTAATACTGTAGACGTAAAAATCTACCCGTACGGAAGGGGGGTCTGATCTCGTGAGGTTGAGGCCACTAGCGATCTGCTGTACCTGCACACGTAGAGACACATACGTGAAGCGAACGGGAAACACCGGGGTGGTGTTTGCCGTAGGCACTCTGACGCTCAAGTCAGCAAGGCTGAAAGGCTAATATAGTGAGGGCTAGGGAGTGAGAGATTACCGGAAGTCTAGTCGGGGACTGTGACTACGGCGGTGAAGCGAAGCTCTCAAGTAAGAGCTTCGGGTCTGAAGGTGTAATGTCCTCCCCCTTGTGAGAGGGCTGGCCTCTGCTTATATAATAGTCGTCTGGTCTCCCAATCCTGGTAGAAGTAGGAGTCCTAGTATGACTCTGATGCAAACCCTAGAAGAATCAGGGCTGTGGTAAACTGTCTTACCAGTGTCCGGATAGGAAGGTGATTCTGATTAGAAGAGTAACTCCGAGTAGAAAAGTGATCAAGAATAGGAAGACGACCTTGAATAGGAGATTGATTAGGAGTAGGAAAGTACTCTGAGGGGGCTATGGGCTCTGGATTCGCCCATGGACCTAGGAAATGGACTGGGATTAAGAGGCTCGCGCCCACGTGGTTTGGGCCGGCTATATCTTGTATCAAAAGGGCCTAATCCGGTTGGATCATATCAGGATTGGGCTTGGCTTTTTCTTCAGTGTCGAGCCCGTTTTCCTATTTGGGCCAAGGAAGATTTTTGGCCCTAACAGTTTGCCCCCACTCTCTGAGTTAAGAGTTACTTAAGTTAGAGAGTATGAAGCGATCGATGGGCCTCGGTCATCCTTCCGGGATGACCGGTTGTTGGTGTAGCTGATCTTGCAAGCGATCCGTATCCTGGGGTAGTTCTGTACCCATTGCCGATCGGGAGTATGTCATCCTTGCAAGGTCATGCCTGATCGGTGTATGGGGTCGAGGGATCGGAGAAGCATGGTCCGGAGTTCACGCGCTCATCCGGTACGTCCGATCGACTGGATAGGAAAGGTCAATCCAGCCTAGGTGTTCGCTCGGTCTTCCGGGTCAAGTGAGGTAGGGAGCTCATTGATATTTAAACATTAGTTCAGTCGGGATGTACGGACGACCGAATGGATGAACCTGTATTGACTGTTCCTTCGTTCGTCATGGAAGGATGAGTAGGCGAGGCTTCTTACCCTGGTCCGATGAGGGCACGAAACGGGCCGTTTTAAGCTGGTCGACCAGTGTGCCACGCCTTTCAGGTCGGCGAAGCGTGGGGCACTTAGAATGCCTTTGGAAGTCTAGGACCGGGTCGGTCAGGGGTATCGAGCGATTGAGCGGAGGGGATGTGTGAGCTCTGATGTTAGTTGTCTATTTGTCTGCTACGGGAGAACGACAAAGCTAGAGCTCGGGCTGGATTGTTCCCGGTCGATCGACCGGTCGGGGGGAACCTCCTGAGCCTCTGATTTACAGGGGTGTGGTCCATTGGCGGGTGCGTGTTGACTCGGTCGACGGGTATGGGCGGTCGATTCAAGCTTCCGTATGTCGTTGCCATTTTCCAGGCGCCGCGGATGCTTGCCACGTGTTCAGCAGAGATCAGATCTTCATTTACGAGGCGGGAAACTGAAAAGGCGTTTTGACCTGTGGCCAATCGCGGGCTGTCACGTGTCCTTACCTGATAGTTTTCCCCTTTAAAAGTGAATGGGCAAACTGTTCATCTTCCAGTTCGCATTTTTCTCCCATTTTCTCTTCAAAGAAAGTAAAACTTTCCTTTTCGTTTCTTCGATTCCGTTCTGGTTTCTTTTCAACGACGACGGCTTTCTGTCTGCAATCTATTGTTTTACGGTAAATCCTCTTTCCTTTGGACTGATTTTTAGGTTGTTTTCATTTTTTGCTGGGTTTTGGATGATAGGGTGAAGTTTTCTGAAAACTTTTGAGTAGTTTTGACGGTGTTTGAAGAGTTTAGGAGTGTTGGCATTTTGGCTTTCTAGGGTAGGTTTGGATTTTTGGTGTGTTTCCGGCAAGTTGGTTGGTTTTTTTTTTTGTTGGTGTTGTTCCGGGCGTTTTGGACGGAATTGGGCAGACGAAGCCAATTCTAGTACGAGGTCGTTCGGTCGGTCCGCCTAACTGAATAAGGTGTAATCTTGCTAGAGTTGGAGTTAGGTCGTCCGCTCCATCCAACCAGGTGGAGAGGAGGCGCGTGGAGCAGACTAAACAGGCGATCGGTCATCCAGGGCGAGTGGGAGTTTTTAGGTTGGTGTGTTGGTGAGCAGGGCGAGTAGGTAACTTGGTTTGAGCTTGGAGGTGGGTCGGTCGCTTGGGGCGAGCGAATTAGTGCTCTGCTGAACCTGGTACTAGGGTCGGTCGGTTGAAGGGGTCGACCAAAGGTAGGGTGCGATCTGGTTATCGGGCAAGTCGACTCGTAACGAGCCTCTTCCTTCGGTCGGTCAGTTAGGTGGGGCGACTGACTGTCTAAGGTTCTATATCTCTCGATAGGACGGGTCGACTGAGATTGAAGAGGCTGACTTTCGGGGGTGTCGGACAGTGTTGAAGGGCGACCAATAGCTAGGTTGATAATTTGAGTGGTTCTAGTTGGAGTTCCATAATAAGGAGCGAGTCGGTCGGTTGGGACGAGCGAGCAATCCGATATGTCAGACGATACATCAACAGATTCGAGTCGAGATGTGGTGGATGTTGGGGATGAGTATGAGCGTGCCCCGACTATTGTGATGATACCTGAAGGGAGTGTCCCGGTGAGCGTGCCGACTGGAGTTAGTGTAGCCGCTTCAGGGGTGAATCAGGCTGGGCCGAGTGGCTCGGGCAGGCATGGTAGGAGTGGAGAAGACTCCAGAGGGGCTGGCAGTCCATCTTCGTCCGGTAGTAGCTCCGAGGAAGAGCCGAGCCAGCAGGGCAGTAGGATTCTGACCAGGGATTATCCGCCCATGCTGAAGGATAGTGACGTGTGGCACATCCGTACATTGTATCATATCCCTGGTTCGGTCAAAATCTGGACCCCGCAGTTGTATGAGCCTGTTGATTGGGAAGCTGAGGGCTGGGTTTGTGTTTATGAGAAATGGTTTCATGACAGGTTGAGGTTGCCTGTGCCTCGCCTCGTCTGGGAGGTGTTGAACCACTTCATGATTGCCCCTTCCCAGCTTATGCCGAACGCTTGGAGATTGCTGATGGCCCTGGAGGATCTGTGTGTTCGACACCAAATTGTGTTCGGGTTGCACGAGCTGCTGTACTCATACTTCCTGAAGGAGAACGATAAGGAGAAGGGCCGATATTTGCTGAACTTGAGGCACAACCGGTCGCACCTGGTGACCGACCTGCGGTCCAGTGATAAGAACTGGAAAGACCACTACTTCTTCTTAAGGGGTCAGGCCATTTTCGGAGAGAGGGGCCCGGGCGAGATCCTGATCGGCTGGCGAGCCACTGGTGAGAACTTAGTCGTTTCTTTGGTACTTTTGATTACTAAATCTTGATTGTATTTTTTGTTTGCAGAGCTTGATTTCAATCGTGCTGGACAGAGCGGGGACGGCTTGGACGTAGCTACCTAGAGGGTGTTAGCCATCCCAATAGAGCAGAGGGATTGGCGAGTAGTGCTAGCAGAGTCCAACCTAAGGACCAGCATTCTTTGGGTCGGAGTAAAGGCTATACAGAGAGGTACTCCCTTCCCCTCGCTGAAGCAGACATGGGATGTGCTTCTTAGCCGATACTGCAACCATATCATTTTTGGTGAGTCTGGGCTGAACCCACTAACAGTTGGAGAATTTGCACTTGCAGAATCGTTGATGAAGAAGTTGACCGTCCTGAACGCGAGTGAATCTATCGCCCGGCGCCGAGAGAAGATGAGGAGGGAGTCCTTGGCCAGGGAGGATAGGAGGTTAGAAGATGTGTTGGCGACACCACCGAGTCAGCAACCGCCTAGTCAACAGCCTTCAGTAGGAGCCAGGTCGTCCCAGGCTGCCGTTGTGGATGAGGAAGCCGGTATTATTACTATCACGATTCCGGCTACTGCGTCGACTTATTCCGATGCGACATCTATGAGTAGGCTGGTCGACTCTTTATTATTCCCGGCGGATGAGGCGCGCCTAAACCAGATGGGTGTAGTTGCTGCTGCCGATTGGGGTGCATCCCGCGCCTTTCAGGTATGGCAGTACTTGTTCATTTTTCCTGTTTTTGGCTTTGTTCTCATTGTTGAGTTTTGTTGTGCAGGTACTCACTAGCAGTCTTCATCTGAGGAAGTCTGTCGTGGCGCAGGAGAAGCGGATACAGGATGTATCCAAGGCCAACATTGGTTTACGACAGAGGGAGGCAGCATCCAGGAAGGCTGAGCAGGACAGTCAGCAGCGCCTCAGGGATAGTAAGGCCGAGGTCGAGAGGTTACGGCGTGAGTTGGCCGAGAGAACCGCGGAGGTCGAGTCCCTCAGGGAGCAGTGCATCTCCATTGTTGATGACGCCATCATTAAGGCCCGAGGCAAGCTCATGCTGGATTTCAAGGAAGGGCGGACCTTTCTTTGGGATCCGAATGAAGACATTTTGCTCATGCGGGAGTTGTTGGAGGAAGGAGCTGGTCATCCGGGGGGGCAGGACGAGGAGCAGGCGCCTGACCTTAGTCAGCTGGGGTAGTCGGGTGTTGGGGACGTGAGCGACCGGGCTGCGGGGCTGAGCGCTAGTGGTGCAGACATGGCGACTGATTTGGTGATGGGGGATGAGGCCCGTGCTGAGGATGCTTAGCGCTCGCTTTTGTTTTTGTATTTTGGGGCCTGCGATGCCCTTTTGTCTGGCGTCTGTGCCTTTTTTGTATTCTGAACTGGGGCGTTTGATGCCATATATACCACCTTTGAATGTTCTGATTTCTAGTATTGTCTCCTTGGATGAATGAACTGTTCTTTTATTTCTCTTCTTGTAGGTGCGTTATGTTTGTGTATGTTACCTCAGCGTGGCCCAATGGCTAAGGCATGTAGGCCTTATGTTGGGCTGGGTTGATGCTTTGTTTGTCAATGGTGTAGGAATCATTCATTCGGTTTGGCCAACCGAGTGTGTAGTCCCCTGGATGAATGACGTTACATCTTGAGTTCAGTTTTTGGGTCGAATGGGGCCGGTCCTAAGGTGCCAAGTCTTGGATTGGGCAGGGCCGATCTAAAGGTGTCATCGTGAGTCGAGCGAGGTCGATTCACGAGTGTGAGTAATTCATCGACTGGGGTCGATTTGAAAGGTGTCCGTATGTATAGGGCAGGGTCGATTTGAAGGTGTCCGTACGTTTATCGGGCATGGCTGATTGAAGGTGTCCGCACGTTTTATCGGGCGGGGCCGATTGAAGGTGTTCGTATGTTTTATCGGGCAGGGCTGATTGAAGGTGTCCGAACGTTCATCGGGCAGGGCCGATTTGAAGGTGTCCGTACGTTCATCGGGCAGGGCGATTTGAAGGTGTCCGTACGTTCATCGGGCAGGGCCATTTTGGAGGTGTCTGTACGTTTATCGGGCAGGACCGATTTGGAGGTGTCCGTACGTTTATCGGGCAGGGTCGATTTGGAGGTGTCCATACGTTTATCGGGCAGGGCCGATTTGGAGGTGTCCGCAATTCATCGATCGGGGTCGATTTGAAGATGAGAACTTCTGAATAATACTTCATTAAATATCTGGCCATGAGGCCGACTGTCTAAGAGGAGGTGGATAGGTCCACTCATCCCTTTTTTTTAACAATGAAAAGAAATGAAAAAAAAAATCCTCAAAAAGGACAGGGTTCACCTAGGAGTAGTAGCGTTTGAGGTGAACGGCATTCCAACTATTGTTGATGTCTTTGCCCTCGGGGGTCTGGAGTTTGTAGGCGCCCTTCCCTGCTTCTTTGATTATCTTGTAGGGGCCTTCCCAGGTGGGGCCGAGTTTGCCAGAGTTAATTTTCTTGGTGTTTTGGAAGACCCTACGAATGACCCAGTCACCTATCTTGAAAGTGCAGATCCTCACATTGCGGTTATAATGTCAGGCGGCCTGTTGCTGGTAGACTGTGTTGCGGATGCTCGCCTGTTCCCGTAGCTCGTCCACAGTTTCTAGGTTCTGGCAAAGATTTCGACTGTTTGATTTCTCGTCCATCCATTGGAGCCTGGTGAACGGAACTGATACTTCAGCTAGAATGACTGCTTTGGAACCGTATGTCAGGGAGAAAGGGGTTTCACCAGTTGATGATCGAGCCATGGTTCGGTATGACCAGAGGACTCCGGGTAGCTCGTCTGCCCATGCACCCTTGGCTTTCTGCAATCGCTTCTTCAATGTCTGTATGATGGTCTTGTTTGATGACTCGGCCTGGCTGTTAGACTGGGGGTTGCGGGGTGTTGAGAAGCTCAACTTTATTCCCCACATGTCACAGAAATCCCTGAAGCCTGAACTAATGAACTGGGATCCATTATCAGTGACAATCTCCTTCGGTATTCTAAACCGACAGATTACATTCTTCCAGATGAAGGCTTTTACCTCTCGATCTCTGACTTGTGCAAAGGCTTCGGCTTCGATCCACTTGGTGAAGTAGTCTGTCACCGCCAACATGAAGACTCGTTGCCCCGGTGCAGTGGGTAGCTTTCCCACGATGTCCATTCCCCACTTCATGAATGGCCAAGGTGTGAGAATGGAATGGAGTCGTTCTGGTGGGAGGTGTGAGATATGGGCAAACCTTTGACAGCTATCGCACTTCTTCGCGTAAGCGGTCTAATCTGTGCGTATGGTCGACCAGTAGTATCCAGCAGTGATCACCCGGTGAGCAAGACTGCGCCCCCCTACATGGTTTCCGCATTCGCCTTCATGGAGTTCGGCTAGAACACTTTGGGCCTCTTCTAGGCTTATGCATTTTAGATAGGGGCCCGAGAACAACTTTCTGAGGAGTTGGCCCTCATGTAGGGTGAATCTGGCGGCTCTTGCTTTCATTCGGCGTGCTTCGTTCTTGCCAGCCGGGAGCTCATCGTCTGCCAGGTATCTTATTATCGGGGTCATCCAGCAGTTGGCTTGTTCAACGCCCATGGCTTCTACGGGAGACTTGTTCGATGGCGGTTCCTTCCAGTTGGCCGGCCACTACATGAATAAGAGGGGGATGGACGACTGGGAAGAACATGGGAGTGCCGAGCCAAGGTTGGCGAGGGCGTCGGCATGGTAGTTCTCAGTTCTGGGGATCTATATGATTGAGAACTCTTCGAATTGGGCCTGCAGCTCTTTGACCATGCTCAAGTAGGATGCCATCTTCGAGTCGCGTACTTGATATGTGCCTTATAGTTGATTGACCACGAGTTGGGAATCGGACTTCACTTCCAGCCTTTTTACTCCCATTTCTCTAGCCAAGGAAAGTCCAACTAGGAGAGCCTCATATTCGGCTTCGTTATTTGTGCACTTGAACCCACACCGGACTGCTCGCTGGACTATGTCTCTCTCTGGTGTGATCAGTACTATCCCAAGTCCGCTCCCGTTCACATTACTCGATCCATCTACTAGGAGAGTCCACTTTGAGGGTGGTGCGCCATTCATGTATAGTAACTCTCTTTCGGCTTGGGTGGTGGCGCTTGGTGTGAAGTTGGCAATGAAGTCCGCTAGTGCCTGAGATTTGACAGTGATGCGTGGTTGGTAGGATACGTCGAACTCGCTGAGCTCTACCACCCATTGCATGAGTCGGCCTGATAGTTCTGGTTTGTGCAATATTTTCTTAAGTGGGAAGGAGGTGATCACAACTATAGGGTGGCACTGGAAATACGATCTGAGCTTCCTGGATGCATGGATGAGGGCGAGGGCAAGCTTTTCTAGTTGGCTGTATCGAGTTTCTGCGTCGAGGAGCGACTTGCTAATGTAGTAGACCGGTGACTATTTTGTTTCTTCTTCCCAAACTAGCACCGCTGATATGGCTGTCTCTGAGACCGCTAGGTAAGTGTAAAGCTTCTCTCCGTCCATAGGTTTGGAAAGAAGCGGGGGGGTGGTCAAATACCTCTTCAACTGTTGTAGGGCTTCTTCGCACGAGGGGGTCCAATCGAACTTGTTGGATTTTTTGAGGGCATGGAAGAACAGGTGGCATTTATCAGCTGACCTGGAGAAGAAATGGCTCAAGGCGGCCACTCGTCCTGCAAGGCGTTGAACATCTCTGATGTACGTCGGGGATGGTATGCCGAGGATCGCTCTGATCTGGTCGGGGTTGGCTTCTATCCCTCGCTAAGTGACCATATAGCCTAAGAATTTACCTGATGAGCACCGAATGAGCATTTGGTTGGGTTCAGCTTCATGTTGTATTTTTGTAGAATGGAGAACGCCTGGCTGAGGTGGTCGAGGTGTTGTTCGGCAATCAAGGACTTGACGAGCATGTCGTCGATGTAAACTTCCATAGTCTCTCCTAAGTAGTCGGAGAACATCTTGTTGACCAGTCGTTGGTAGGTGGCCCCGGCGTTCTTGAGTCTGAACGGCATTACTTTGTAGCAGTAGATCCCTCTCTCTATGATGAAGGCTGTCTTTATCTGGTCGTTCGGGTGCATCAGGATCTGGTTATATCCAGAGAAGGCATCCATGAAGCTAAGGAGCTCGTGGCCTGCAGTCACATCTACCATCATGTCGATGTGTGGGAGCGGGAAAGAGTCTTTGGGGCAGGCCTTGTTCAAGTCAGTGAAGTCGATGCAGACTCTCCATTTCCCGTTCTTTTTCTTTACTACCACGACGTTCGCCAGCCATTCGGGGTAATGGACTTCTCTGATCATGCCATTGCTTAAGAGTGTGTCAACCTCATCGTTGATGATTCGGTTCCGTTCTAGTGCAAACTTCCTTCTCCTCTGCTTAACTGGTGGGTGATCCAGATTTACCTTTAGTTGATGGACCATTGCTTTTGGACTGATTCCGGTCATGTCGGCGTGAGACCAGGCGAAGCAGTCTTGGTTTTGTCTAAGGAACTCTATCAGGCGGGAACCTATATGGGTCTTTCTCTCGAGGTCGTCTGGGTGTATCTGTACTTCATCCAACTCCTCCATTGAGGGCTGATCTGGCTCGGTTGGAGGGGTTGGATGAGACTGTAATTGCTACGAGGAGTTGCCCTTGCTCTTGAAGGCGTTCTTGTAGCAGTCTCTGGAAGCTTTGGGGTCGCCCTTGATCTCTCGTACCCCCCACTTGGTTGGAAACCTGATCGTCTGGTGGAAAGTAGATGGGACTGCCCACATGTCGTGGATCCAGGGTCGTCCCAAGATGGCGTTGTAGGGGGATGGGCAGTCGATCACCAAGAAAACGGTCTGTTTATTTACTCCGTCGACATAGATAGGAAGGACGATCTCCCCGATAGTGTATTTCTGCTCTGAGCTGAATCCAACCAGCAGTGTCAGTCGTCTGTTGATATTTGCTTCTTCTAGCCCTATTGCTTTTACTGTTTCGAGGAATAGGATATTTGCTGACGAACCTCCATCTACGAACACCCTTTTCACTAGGATGTTGGCTATTTGCAGGGAGAAGACTAAAGCATTGTGGTGAGGAGCGTCCAGGGTGATCGGTTCGTCATCTTCGAACTGAATTACTTGATGAGAGTATGACCTCGAGACCGGATGGATGGATTGGACTTCATGGTGGTGGTTGGTTCTAGCATACCGCTTGGCCAATGAGTAACTTACCCCACTGATTTCTGATCCTCCGGAGATGAGCAAGCAAAAACTCTTCGGTGTGGGTTCTCGCGGAGGGGGC